CCCTTCCTTCCCTCCTCTGCCCCCGCTTCCAGGCCCGCCGTTCGCTCCCCTTAGGATCCAGCCCTGGGCCGGAGAAGCCTCGCCGAGCGCCAGGCCCAGGGCCCAGCCCTGAGCAGCCCCATTCCCTCGGCTGGGCACAGCTCTCCACCAAGACAGGGCGTCTGTTTCCGACCCGCAAGGTCAGGCAGAGGTCACTCTCTAGAGCCTGGATGGATGCTGAAAGCCACTGCGCTCCTCCAGGCCGCAGCCCCTCCTCGGGAAGTCCCCGACCTCCTCTGGCGCGGGCTTGGCCGCTGCTTTTCTCCGTCTGCCCCCCGAGTCCTCTTCCCGCTGGCGGTGTGTCCCCCGCCTCCCCTGCACCCCCATCTCCCCTCTGTTCTTTCCCTCTGCCTTCAATCCGTCCTCCTTCCCCGAGTGCTCTCTGCATTCCAAGCCCTCTCTCCCCAGCCCGCTCCTCTGCTCGCTCTGCCCTCCCATCGCTCTCTGCCTTCCCACTCTCTCCCGCCCGGCCTCCACCTCCCGGGCTGCGGACCCTCCCTTCGCAGCTCTTCCCCAATCTGTTTCTCTTCAGCCCAGCCTCGCCCCATCACGAGTTTCCTTTATCTGTCCCCAGATTCTTCGGGCCTGCCTTCCCGCCCACTGCTCCGCACCGCTCCGCTCCGGGCCGGGCCGGACGCTGCAAGGCGAGGTGGGCTGCTTCTCTCCCGCAGCGAGCGCGGTGCCCCCCGGACCCCCGAGGACAGGCGTTTCCCTTTACATGATTCGGGTGCTCGGGCCCCCACCATAACATGCTCTCCCTTAAGGTCCCAACAGCTCTCTGAGGTTGGCCTCACTATGTTCACTTTCACAGATTTTTTTTAATGATACGAAGAGAGGATAGATGACTTCTCCAAGGACACTTAGCCAAGGACAGAACCCAGAGCTCAGGCCCCAAACCCAGTGTTCTTCCCCTTCCCGGACAGCAGAATCCATCACTGGCCCAATAGCTTGATCTCATTCTTGCCCTTTCCCCTTCCTTTATGGTTTTATTTGATCTCAGACAGTGTCTTCCCACCTTACTGTGTGTGCGAGCGTGTTCCCACTCCCTCTCACTTTCTTCCCTGTTCTCTCCTTTGCTGTTTCATTTCTTTTCCTGTCCCTACAGGGACCACTCACTTGACTGCTGGGGGAGGGAGAGAGGGTTGTTGGGAGTGGAGTTTTGCTTCCCTGCGCCCTTCAGGCCTTAATTCCTTCAGGTATGGGCTGTGCACTCCACCACGCAGACCCCTGGCCTCCCCCAGGTAATGGGGGAAAAGAGAACTTGTGAATTGGGCGGGTCCTAAGCCCTTTACACATATTATTTCATTTAATCTTAAAAAAAATCTTTCTGAGGTAAGTACATATTACCTCCATCTTACACATAGAGAAACTGAGGCCCAAGTCACCCTGCCCCAGAGTCTGGGCCCTTAACCACTGGGCTGTGGCACTCTCCTCTTGATCTCAGAAGGGATGCCCCTTCTGGCCAGATCCTGGTGTTGATTTCATGAGCTTTAACTTCTGAGTCTCCTTGGTGCTTTACCATGGCCTTTTCTTCCTTCCACTCTTTGCGCTTTAAATTATTTACTAAATTAACAGTATATAAAAGGAAACGGAACTGGATGAAAAAATGGCTTCTCAGGTTTTTTGCTACCACAACGAATCAAATAGTTTTGCTTTTATGGGTTCCCTTCCATTTCCTCTTAATTGTTGTGTGTACACATCGTTTTCATATGCTATGTCGTCTTCTTCCTTTGTAAGTTAACATTATGGCAAAGCATGTATGTTGGTCCTATGGGGGGGGGAGGGGGGGGGTCCCAAGCCCATTTCCTTCCATGTCTCTCTTCGGTGCCTCCTGCCACTCCCTGCAGGTCTTCGCCACCCTGACATGGCCCACTCAGTGTCACCTCTGCAAATGCACACACTCAAACCCCCTCATTTCTCACTTGCAGGCACAGCCTTTCCCCTTCTCCCTGCCTGTCAGCCCTGGGATGATTCATGTGTGTTGTTGGGCCTGCTCTGCGGCTCAGCTCCCTCTGTCCATCTGCCTGAGTGTCATCCCATAGAGGCCTTTTCCTGGTGCTGTCTCTCCACCTCTTCCTCCAGGGCAATGAATACTTGTGGTTTGTACTATCAGTATTTTAATTTCTATCAGTATGGAGTCTGGTGAACTGATGATTCATGGTTTCAGTCTCTCCGTCCAATAAAATGTTTCCTGCCGGCAACTGCGGGTTTCTGTATTCCCTTTCCATTTTGCCCACAGCAACTATTATCTGTTTCAAGTTATCGGTAAACAGGAAGCAAAGGGATGAGCCTATCTGCTCGGGCTGAGGGCCCCTCTGCGCACTAGATGGGGTTCTGTGTAAGAGTAAATGACACCAGGACAGGGACCACCCAGGCCTGGCTTCCCGGCTTAAGGATTCCCCTCCTTCATTGCCACCAGCCTCTGATCTATGCAAGGAAAGTGCTGGCTGCCCTTTGCAGCACTGATTTCACAGGTGAGCAAAGAGAGGAACAGATAAACTCAGTGGAAGGGCTCAAGGTCACAAGCTGTCAGAAATCTAGCCAGGGCGAGGAGACAAGTCTTTCTAACTCCTAATCCAACTCTTCTCTTCTATTAAAAAAAAACAAACACATTTCATTTTCAAATATAGTGACAATGATCCACGGTAATGGAGAAAGCCTTTCTCTTCCTCCATTTCCAATAGGAATGTTAACAGGCCATGCCAAGGCCTCTGCTACGTGTGTGTGTGTGTGTGTGTGTGTGTGTGTGTGTGTGTGTTGTAAAAATGAAGATACAAAGAGCACACTACAAGTCAGAGTCTGCCTTTAGATCTCACATTTGGAGAATTTGAAATAATGCTTGAGAATTTGAGTTTTCAGTCCTAAGATTCTCTCATAATTTCTTCAGCACATTTATCTACGAAGAACATGAAAAAAAGGTGAGAGGTTCTTGAGCTGAAGTGAGAGGCAATTTAACCAGGGCATTCTTTTCCTGGTTAGATTTTTTTCCCCCCCAAAATTAGAAGGAAACAGAGAAAACTGTGCAGTCTGGTATAGCCTGCCCCCTTGTGGAGGCTCATGGAATTACCCCTGGAGAACCAAAACCATGTGAACAAGGGAATATAGGAGGTTGCAAGATGGGCAAGGAAAGCGACATTACTGGGATTACCCCTGGAGAACCAAAATCATGTGAACATGGGAATATTTATAGGAGGTTGCAAGATGGGCAAGGAAAGCGACATTAACGTGATTTTAAGAAATTAGAGTCACATTTTAGGTGTGTGCAGAATTTGGCAACAAAACATCTATCAATGCAACATCTGCCTGCCCAGATACACAGGACCAAAAGCAAATAGAACTTCCCTGTTCCTACCTGAAATCTGTGCTGTTTTGTCCTTAAATTCTTATTTTATATTAACTCAAGAAGAGAAGATTCTCTTAAATAAATAAAGGAATTTATCTCTCTTATTATGTAGTTTTCATTGAAGTGTCACTTGAAAGGCAACTTTTATTATAGTGACTGAGGAGGTTTGACTTTTAGCATGGTCCCTACTCACAGTCAAAGTAACTTAAAGGCTCTGGAAATATATCCCGGGAAGACATTCTAGCACCTGAAATTTGCGCAAATAAGATCTTTAGTTTGAGGTACTATCTTCATAAAATCCCAGTGGAAATGAAAATGTTGGCAGCAGGATCCCCATTCAGATCTTACACCACTATTATGCTATTCTGAATAGATTGGTAAATGGATCATTTGATAGGGTTCGACAGCTGTCACCTATGTTGTCCAAGAGAAATGAGATGTAAGTCTTGTGGATCTTGATTAAAAGAAGGGTAATGACAAAACGGACTAAGGCAGTGCGTTTAAAATGTTGTTCCTTAGCATTTCAAGAGCTTCCGGCAAGAGGAGCGAGGAGGGGTTCATGTTGCCCACGATTGCTCCCGCCTGAGCAGCTCTGCTCTTATGTTTTGGGTATGTCCCTAAAATTGTGCCTGCAGAAAAGGTCCCTCAACAAAGAAAGAAAAAATGAAAGCCATTGGCTTAGAATCCTGAGCAATGGTTCTCAAAGGGGGTCCTGAGTATCAGAAAGAAAGGTGAAGACTGTTTGCTTTGGGAAGACAATAAGATAAACTTCTCCTTCACAACGTAGACTGGGGGCTGTCAGCCCTGTGATTCCTCCTGCCTTCCCCATTTTATATTGAGACTGATCTTTCCGTTTCCTTTGTTTGTTTGGGCGCTGCTATTCCTTCACAGAAAGGGTTACAGACAAATTCAATGAAATGGAATGGAGGGATGTGCCCAATGACATAAGCTCTCTGGGCCTCGGCTTCCCCACTCTATCAGCTGAGCCTGGTGTGACCTGGAGGCCCATGTCTGCACCAGTATGAGAGCACTGAGATGGGAAGGTGATTAGATCCAGTTGTGTATATTGAAAGAAGCAGGAAGACCCCGGGGGGAGGGGGGATCAAATCCATCCAATCTCTGCTCTCCTTTGTTTGGTTACACATGGGGCACATAGCAGTCCAACCCTGTTGTAGTTTGCCATCACCAGTGATTCTCAAAGGGTGGCCCCCAGGCCAGCAGCAACAACATCACCTGGAAATGTGTTCAAAATGCAAATTCTTAGGCCACACCCAAGACCTTGTGGGGGGGGCCGGTGATCTATACTTTAACAAGCTGGGAAGGTGCGGGATTCAGATGCACGCTGAGATTTTGAACATTGGTCCACACCATGAAATAGGGGCAAGTTACCTGCCAAGTACTTCAAGAAATGTTTTGATTTTTAACTACGAGAAAGCTATAAAAGAAATGCAGAGTATGCAACTTTATTACCAAATTAATCATTCTCATTCCTAACGAGCAAATAATTTTCATTCCTCATGCAAACCAGGGGTATTTAATTGCTTACCGTCATGCCAGGCCAAATGCTGCTAATCTGGTCGGATCTCTAACAATCCGTAGGGCTGTGCCTGTTTAGAACCTGAAAGGGAGGCAGAAACTGCATCAGAATGAAGTTGACATCTTCTTACAAACTCTAGATGTTAAATAAAATAGGGCCTTGGAGCTGAAGGTTCGGATCCCAGCTCTGTCACACTCTAGCTATACAAACTCAAAATCTTCTAACTCTAGGTTGGTCAGCTCAGATGAAGGCGAACCTATGTCCCTCTGGATTTTTTTATGCAGGATATATACAACACCATATGTAAATTCTTATTATATTAGTAAGCATAATGATTATCATTGGTTACTCAACCATTTGGGATTTTTAAAATATCAAATCATTCTCTGTTCATTTTAGCAGTTCTCAGTCTTTATACTTTTGCCCTGGAATTACATTTTAAAACACTCATTTTAACTAACTTTCATATCCTCTGAAGAATTTCTTTTTGTTAAGTAACTTCTCTCAAAAGGCTAAATTTGTTTGTCGTCGTGAGCTTTCACTGTATTTCACTGTGAATTTGTGGCAACACTTTTCTTCTGTAATGATTCGACATGTTTTATGCTTGTCCAAACATTCTAGATTAAAAACACATTGCAGCTTGCTAATGGGTCTTGGGATACTTAAATTGAGCAGACAAAGTGCCTTCTCAAATGAGCCTATAGGTTGCATAGGAGAGTGAAGATGATTACGTTCGAAGAATGATTTGATCCGTGCCAAATCTTGCGTAGAAAATTACAATCACATAGGAAATTGTCTTTCCTGTTGAGGATCACATTTGGTTTTTAAAATTACTACCAACTTTGTAAACATTAAAATAGAGGCAATAAAGATGTGAAACTTCACACAGGGGATCTACAATATTTGGATAATTATGAGCATATGGCCACTTTACATGAGATCTCTGTTAAAAGTGTATTTACTAGGGCTCTGGGAAAACAGAGGTTCTGGAATTTAGGGCTTATTTACATGTACAGAGAATATCACATTTATTATCGATATATCATAATCTACTTTTGCTTCAGAACTCCAAATAGTATTAGCTAAGTGATTGCAGTATCTGTTGTTTATTGTTCTCTTGTCTATTTGTTAATATGCCAGGTTTTTGTGTAAAAGAAATGACAAAGAACAACAAACTACTCCATCGAAAGTGGTGAATGCTTCCTCAGTCATTTCAGAAACCATTTCATATATTTTATGGCAATATTTAAGGCATGAGACTACACTGACTAGCTTCAATATATTCTAGTCAAATAGAAATGATTACTGTAACTATTTTATTTCATGTAGTTAAAAAAATAATACTTTACTGTGCTTGTTCCTAGGAATCACTAAAAATAAAGACAAATTATTTATTGTTTTTTCACTTAGAATTAATTTAATGAACACTTAAATCTGAGAAAGGGTTGAAATTTCATTTTGAAATTGATAAATACAGGACTTAAGAGTTTGAAAGTCAGTGTAAGCCCTACTTTTCCTCAAAAAGCCTTCCATCCAGGACTTTGCTTCTCAGATGCTAAGAGTTACAAGTTAGAATGACTTAGTCTTAAAAACAAAAGTAGAGACAGAAATTCCCCAGTTACAAGTTAGAATGACTTAGTCTTAAAAACGAAAGTAGAGACAGAAAGTAGAATAGTGGTTGCCAGATGCTGTGGGGAGGAGGGAATGAGGAGTTAGTGTTTAATGAACACAAAGTTTCCGTTTGGGATGAGGGAAATGCTCCGGAGATGGATGGTGGTGATGGTTGCACAGCAATGTGAATGCCACTGAACTGTGCACTTAAAAATGGCTAAAATGGTCATTTCATGTCCTGCATATTTTATCACAATGAAAAGTACAAAGATTTCACAGAGCAACTTAAGAAATGTCCATTTGTAAATTAATATGCTTCAAGACAGAACTTTCTAGACAGCTTTGTTGAAAATTTTGGCTTTTTAACCTCTTTGCACAGACTCTGTTAATAAGAATAATGACTGAGGGTAAATTTATACCGATCTACACAACTGTCAAGTGGAAAATCCGTGTTAGCCCTTTTGGGATTAAAAACAACCCCCCACCCCCCTTCTTCAACTATACCATGTGAGCCGTCCTCGATTCCTCTTCTTATTTTTTTTCCTGAGATAAGATCTTTTCAGTTTTCTTTCCGTTATTCCCACTTGCCTGACTCCTTGACACTTTTGGATCACAGCCTCTTCCACTGTAAGCTCTTTCTATATGAGTCACCCCTGCCCTGTTTGGCCTAAGTGGTTTCAGTTGGGTTTTTGGATCTCATTGTCCACACTCTTGGTCTGTTATCCTCTCTTTCCATTCCCCCACCTCCTCTTTCTCCCTGCCTTTCCTTGTTCTCTTCCTCATTCCATCACTTTTTCTACTTCTCTCCTCTAACTAGCTAACATTTGGGACGGAAGCACATTTTAAAATGTTCCTTCCATACTGATCCTCATTTAAGTACAGATGAATTGAATCTTATGTTTTTTTCTTTTAAAACAAATCAAACCCTACCACTTGAAACTAATCTACTTTTGCTTTTATTTAAATGTGTCCCTTGATACATTTATTTTCTCACAGTGACCCTGGAAGGGGGCAGGGCTGTCTTCCCATAGGGCTTTTATGATTTGATACTTGTTTAAATGCAGCAGCAAATAAATGTGGATTCCTCCCCTGTACAGTGCATTTTTATGATTGGAGCCACCCCTACGATACCCTTGCTGTATTTTTTTTGAAGGTTCACATAGCTGCCATGGATTGTTTGACCCTCTCTTAGAAGTTAGCTTATTGCCGAAACCGGTTTGGCTCAGTGGATAGAGCGTTGGCCTGCGGACTGAAAGGTCCCAGGTTCGATTCCGGTCAAGGGCATGTACCTGGGTTGTGGGCACATCCCTGGTGGGGGATGTGCAGGAGGCAGCTGATTGATGTTTCTCTCTCATCGATGTTTCTAACTCTCTATCCCTCTCCCTTCCTCTCTGTAAAAAATCAATGAAATATATTTAGAAAAAAAAAAGAAGTTAGCTTATATTTTAGCAATGACTGGCAATGCCCAATCTCCCAACACAACAATACCTGAAATTATAATGCTAAAGGTCTCTTCAATAGGCATTTTGGCTACTCATGGCATTCAAGGCCTGGTACAGTCTAGCCCGAATGTTGTCTCCCATCACTCCTGAGAACACACCTGGCAGTTGTGTTGTACTTGGTGTCCGGATCTTTCTGAACCTGCCCGTGTTTTCTCACCGGGTACTTCCTGCACATGCCTGTATGTGCCTCCACTAGAAGGCTGGCTGGCCCACCTGCGTCCTCCCTACACCTGTTCTTAATGGTAGTGGTGCATTTTAGTGCTGGCCTCTACCATAGCTCTTGATACGTCTTGCAAGGAGAGGGGGAGGGTATTTGTGGACATGAAGGATCGTTTTTAAAACCTCATGGGTTATTTTATCAGCTTTCCCGTCTTCCATGTTCTCTGACCACCTACACCTACACACACCTCTTCCACTGCTTGAGGATTGCCTTATAGAAGCCATCATTCGCTGGGGCCATATATCACAGAACTTTCCCGAAGAACCACAACTTGGTCAGATGGGTATATTAAGGAGTATTGGGAAGAATATCTTTGCTTTGCCACAAAAAAAATCCTATTATACCTACCCTTCTGCCCGAGCCCAGCGAGGGCCTCCTCACATGTATGTATCTGAGAAGGACAACCAGGTGACTTTTCCCTGCCAAAGAAGAGACACGCCTGAGTGACAGTCTTCGAGAAGAAATAAGCAAGTTCCCTTGCTGTCCAAGACATGGTCATAATAAAAGTTAAAAGTTAAATTCCTGCTTATCATACTGTATTTAAAAAACACACATGTACTTGTAAATAGATTTCCCCATTAAAGTCTTTATTGTTGTTCTTTCTGGGGGACCAACTAAAGCCCACATTAGAGTTTTGGAGGATAAATTCTCAATAAAGTAAATATGGGTTCAAATACAAATATCAGCATGTGTGAGATATAACGCATGGGCCTAGCACTTAATGAAACTTTGTATATTTTGTAAATTTCTTCCCCAATCTATTTCTTTAGTACCAGAGCTCTGTTTTGTTTGTTTGTTTGTTTGTTTGTTTTTATTGACCAGGTGCTCTTTACCCTTTCTTCTAGACTGAACATTCTTTTGGGAAATCTGTGTTTCCCCACTCCAACAACCTCTTACCCCAGCCATAAGGAGGGGCGTAGGCCCAGGTTGGGACACTCTAGTCCAGGGGTGGGCAAACTTTTTGACTCGAGGGCCACAATGGGTTCTTAAACTGGACCGGAGGGCCGGAACAAAAGCATGGATGGAGTGTTTGTGTGAACTAATATAAATTCAAAGTAAACATCATTACATAAAAGGGTACGGTCTTTTTTTTTTTTTTTTAGTTTTATTCATTTCAAATGGGCTGGATCCGGTCTGCGGGCCCTAGTTTGCCCATGGCTGCTCTAGTCATAGTACTCCAGCTGCCCACCCCCAACCCCTGTGATTGGTTTAGCATTGGAGAAAGACAGATGCTCAGCCAATCAGGACCCTTCACCAAGATTTTTCTAAATGGAGTTGGGGAAGATGACCCTTTTCCATTCTACTGGCTAAGAGAACTAACTGCCAGCAACCTTGGTTCAAGCCTTAGAGAAAACGGGGAGTTCATAGAAAAGAATGGAGAGCATCCCAGAGAGGCTAAGGTGGGAGGAAGAGAAAGAACGATGGCATGGAGTCTCTAGTTCCCTCCATCTATGGTCCCTCCCTGCCCTGCCCGGCCTAAGCTGGTTTCAGTTGGGTTTCTGTCACTTGCAACCAAGGATCTTGACTAATACAGAAAAGTTGCTCCCAGTCACTGATGTCCCCACATGTAATCCTAAAGCTAGCATGGTCAGGTGCTCTTTCGATTCTGTGAACCATGCCAATGTCATTCCAATAAATCCCAACTTCAGTTTGATTGTTCAAGCTGGATTTCTGAAAATTGCATTGGACTTTTCTGGATTCAGCTCCTCTTCCCTCAGTTTCTCCACAGCTCAGTGACCTTTAGGGAGAAAATGTGTTTCTGCTCCTCCTCTGGAGACACACAGCACATTGGGTTCCATGAAGACTGTCCAGGAGAGAAAGAGAAAAGATCGAAGAGTCTCCCAGAAGTTTCTCCTCAGGATGAGACTTGGCTGGTCAGTGTTGAGAGCTTATGGCAGCCCCATTGCTCCAAGCTATTCTGACCTTATAACAGATCCTTTGCACTTGCCTACTTTTGGAGTGCACTCCCCGCCTCCCAGTGCCTGGTACCAGAGGCCCTGTAGTGTGGAATGAATGAGTGCATGACTAGGCACGGCATTATTCTTATTTTTAATATATTTTTATTGATTTCAGAGAGGAAGGGAGAGGGAGAGAGAGAGATAGAAACATCCATGATGAGAATCATGGATCGGCTGCCTTGAGCCTGCAACCCGGGCATGTGCCCTGGACCAGGATGGAACCCGGGACCCTTCAGTCCGCAAGCTGATGCTCTATCCACTGAGCCAAACTGGCTAGGGCCACAGCATTATTGAAGGAGAAAGGCACTTATCCCTTCACTCTTAGTTGTTCTCTTCCTACGTCCCAGGAGCACTGCTTGCATTCCAGTCCTTACCCTCTGCTTCCCTCTCAGCGTAGATTTCTCCCACAGGACAATGAGCCGCAAGCTCATCTTCCTATGGGGCACCTAGGAGACACGGTGGCAAAGCCGGTGTTTAGTAGGCTATTCATTGGACGGTGAATGAATGAACAGAGTCTGAATGACACGTTTTTAAAAAATGTGTTTTTGTCATTGTCAAAACCTTGACTGCTGCCAGTCTGTCCAAGTGAATGCCCTGCTGGCACCAGCGTTGGTGGCCCTGGGAGACTCATTTAGAAGTTCAACCTGTTTACACACAACTAAAAAGCTGTGGCCCCTGAGACCTTCTTTGAGGTTTTCATTTGCTCAAACCACTGTTTTCTCCATGAGCCTGCTCTGGACGAGGCAGGGATCAATGGAAGGGCCCTGCTGGCTGCTATTTGTCTCTATGGTGGGCTACTTGCAAAGGGAGCTTTGGGGGTGGGGGTGGGGGCTGGTGGGAATTTGGGAATTGTGGGTCCACAGAGCGAGGAAGAGGATCTGCCTTTTGGTTTTGAGATGAGCGCAGTGGCAGAGCCCGGGTCCGCTTCTCACTGAAATGAGGTAAAAGACTTCCTCGTCCTCCACAGAAGGTTCTGTGCTTCTCCTAGAATCACTATTACCCCCTGTGTCTGGAATTACTATTCCTCGGAAACCATTTCAAACAGGCGTATGCGTATTTACTCCTCGTGAAATCGGGCAGAAAGAAATCAAGGAGTGTGTGCCCCGTTTTACTGGCCCTAAAATGGATCTAAAATGCTGGGTTTTATTCCACCCTGTCACATCTGTCAGGTTCTTGTTGAGAGCAGCGGCAGGAATCCAGAAACCAGGCTGAGGGCGCCCCCTGGTGTCCAGACGGCAGCGTGCGCTTCTCTAATGCCGCCAGGTGAGGGCCGGTCTCCAAAGGCCTTGATTAGGTCCTGTGTGGTTTTTTCTGCGGTGGGGCAGGTCCTACACTGGAAACTCAGCCTCGTAGACCAAAACCATCCGGGGACTTTCTGGCTGTGAGGAGTCCGGTCAAACCAGCCTCCTTTTATGATAAAAAATATAGAACGTCACTGTCCTCCACCCACTGGGGAGAGCAGTGCCCCACGGTCCCCCACTCAGCGTCTCCCCCACATCCCAGCTGAGACGAAGCTGGGGGCCTGTGTGGCTGTGTGTGTGTCACTCTGTTGGATGTCAGATGGTTAAACACGCCAGCAGGGGTCTGGGGCGGGGACGCGCTGCGGAGAGAAGAACGCACAGGAGAGGTGCCCCCCTGCGCTCGGCCTCAGGGTCTGCGCCCTGGACAACCCACCGCACAGCCCGACCTCCTCCCGCCCGGAGGGGAGTCTCCCCATCAAAGGTCACTGTGAACC